CTAAGTTCTCCAGGGGGCCAATCTCGAAGCCAGCTTGCCGATGCTGCTGCCCATTCAAGGAAGACCTCCAAGGGCACTGCAACAGCACAAGACAAGATGAGTTCTGCCAGAGCGTTGTTCTCTGCCATCATTCCAATGCTTGGTGCAGCGCCCGACGCCATACGTGATGCAGTGGTCTCTGCTCTCGGTTCCATCAATCGCAAACTTTGCCGGACGCTTCTCGAATCGCTTCAGTACGCGGTGATCAAGTGCAATGATGAGGCAAAGGCGAGAATCAACCATCAGAGGACTCCAAGCAGCCCACAGCGATCTCAGCAGACCGAACGGTTACGAACGGAAGTTACGCATGTATACAAGCTCACAGCGGCCTTCTTGCGTTTCGAAGATATCTATGAAGACGACTGGATTCTGCATAACCTCGTTAATTACACGAGGGATCTGCGTATCTTTCTAAGCGACAATGACGTACAGAATGATTGGCGATTCCAAAGACTAAGATACCATTTCTGTGGGTTAGTCGAGGAGGTCTTCGAAGGGGTCAACAGATCGAAAACGCCGTCTCGCTGGATGCCTTTCGAATCGCGGAAGTCTGCATTTGCCTTGATGGAAGACTGGTGCGGCTACTCCGCGGAGCGGAATTTGATGGATCCCAATCACGGCCATGCCCGCGACTTGCATGATCGGATGAACGCGAGTGCTGCACTTGAGAAAGAGAAGAACAATCTGCGAGTAGCTGCCCTGAGCGCAATGGCGACATTGTGCGCTGGGCCGATCAGCATCAAAACTGACAGCAACGCGATCCTGTCATTCAACCTTCAACGCATGCTGTCATGGATCGATACCATTTTCGCTACAAACAATCACAAGATGCACACTATTGGGCGACGAGCGCTTAAGCTCCTCCTGATGCACAATCCGGAGCATCTCGTCCTTGCCGAACATGCTATCGAGCAATGCTACCGGACGGAATCCTCGATGGCGCTGGAGAGCTATTTTACTGTGGTTTGCGAGGTTCTCATTGAACAGCCAGACTATCCCCTAGCGTTTTGGAAAATTCTCAGCATCATTGTGTTCACCTTGGGCAACGAAAATCGTGAAATCAGAATGCAGGCGGCGCATCTGATCCGCACTCTAGATGAACGCCAACATAAGAGCACCAATCTTCAAGAGTTTGACATCAGCATTTCCGACAAGACGCGTGCTGTATACAAATTGGCCCAATTTGAATACTCCAAGCGACTTGCAAAGGCCAACTCAGACATCGCGTTCATGATCTTCTCCGAGTTTTCACTCCATTATAAATCTGCACGTAACGATCATCAGCGCAACATGGTCGTCGCCATCTTACCCTGGTTGCAGACTCTCGAGCTCCAGGTCGACCCGGGGACCGGGTCTCCAACTGCCGCCTCGTATATGCTTCTAGCAAACATGTTCGAAATCACGATTTGCTCAAGCAGCGCAATGCACAACGAGGTCCAAGCCTTGTGGCAAGCCCTGTCAACAGGACCTCATGCGGGAAATGTGCAACTGATTCTTGACTTCATTATTTACCTGTCGCTCGATCGCCGCGATCAGAACTTTGTCGAATACGCAAAGCAGATCGTTGTATATCTTTCTTCCACCCCTGCCGGTTCACGAGTGCTGGAATTTTTCATGTTACAACTCGCGCCAAAGAACATGGTTAATGACAGAAAGCATGCTGATGTAGTAATGCCTGATACAAGGAATCTTCCCTACGTGGCTGATTTGACTTCCCTTTTGCCTATGGGCAACAAACAGGTAGGACACGCCAGATCTTTGAACGGATTGCATTCTGACAAGTCAATAGGTTGGTCTTTCCTTGGGACAAGTCTCCCTGATTTTCCTAGTCGACCTCATGGTTACACCGGTGACCCTGGCCAAAGATGAGGCGATCAAGCTCATTCATACTGTCCTCATCCTTTGGGACCACTACACAACGTCAGTTCAGGAACAGGCTAGAGAGATGCTGGTCCACCTCGTCCACGAATTGGTAACCACAAAGATCGACTCGCAGATCCTCTCCTCTGTCAAGTCAGACATTGAAAGCCTTGTTGCTGCAATTCGAAGCAACAGTCCTCGGATAAGCTGGACTTACGAGAGCAACACGAGGAAGGACGAAGACGATGGCGCTAGCCGGGTACCGCAGGCAATGGGGGTTCTCACCTCGGAAATTGTCAACATTTTCAATCTCGCGTTTGACAATTTCAGCGACAGCTGGGCTAAAGAAGCGCTGCACTGGGCCTCTATCTGTCCTGTCCGGCATTTGGCATGTCGGTCGTTCCAAGTATTTCGTTGCATTTCTGTCAGCCTGGATGCTAGGATGCTTGCGGATATGCTTGCACGACTTTCCAACACCATTGCCGATGAGCACACGGACTACCAGACCTTTTCGATGGAGATCTTGACGACACTCAAAGTCATCATTGGAGCACTGGAACCCAAAAATCTCCTGAGATATCCGCAGCTCTTCTGGACGACATGCGCCTGCCTCAATACCATTCATGAAAGGGAGTTCTACGAGACATTGGGAATGCTCGAGAAGTTCCTCGACAAATTGGACTTGTCCGCTCCGGACGTTACGGAGGCTATGATGAAGGGGCTCCCCGGAAAATGGGATGGCGGCTTTGAGGGGCTGCAGCCACTACTTTACAAGGGGCTGAAGTCGGCCGACAGCTTGGACAAGACGCTTTTCCTTCTCCACAAACTCGCAGACCTGCCGGATTGCCCACTAGTTGGGAACGACAATCGCCTCCTCTACTGTGTCCTGGCAAACCTACCCCGCTGGCTTCGAAGCTTTGAGCTCGACGAGATCGAACCTATGACGATAGCTTCAGCCCAGAGACTTACAAAGGTGGCGAGCGCAGCTGGCCATGATCTTCTTTCGGCCACTCTTCAGCGTTTCGCCAATAACGAAATAACATCGAGTCAAGAGATGCTCACCACCACCATTCAAGCCATGAGGGCCGCGTACTTTCCAGCATGCGACGCCCCAAGTTTGATCTTCATGATTGGACTATTGACCAACAAGACACCGTGGTTTCGAGTCAAATTGATGGACATTCTATGCGAGTTAATCCCGATTGTGAACATGAAGAGCCATGCCATCACAACACATGGACCCGATCTCATTTCCCCCCTGCTGCGGTTATTGCAGACGGAGCACTGCACACAAGCTCTGGAAGTGATGGACTATATCATGGAGGTAGCAGCTACGCCCATGGAAAAGCATCACATGCGGATGAGCATGGCTTCCGGGTCAGCAAAGGCTATCAGAAAAGAGTATGAGCGGACACAAAGCCTGTACGGGATTCCCCACTCATCCGGCTGGTCTATCCCGACACCTGCCATCTATTCAAGCATGACGAGACACAATGTCCATGCTGTTTTCTATACATGCGGCGACTCGGACTTATTGAATACCCAAGAAACCACCACTCCTGATGTTGAGTTTCAAGGTGATGATGGCTACACGGATTCATACTTTCCCCCCCAGAGTCGTGCAGAAACTATCCGGTCACTGGAAGTGGCGGCAGACGCCAATGTCAGTGACTTGGTCAACACACTTGACAGCCTCGATGATTTCTTCGACGATCTGGATGGCGACGACGTCTTAACCCCCACCGGCACCAGTCAGCTTGGCGTGTCCGCCATTGCGCTTCCCACTCTTACCGAACACAGCACAGCACTGTATGACGAGCAGACTGCCCCGATTCTTCGTCAGAGTCTAGCGCGGACGTCATCGACAACGACGGTACAGGATGGGTTTACCGAAGCCGGACCACTACCTGGCATCATTCATCGAACTCAGCCCAGTCTATCGTCTCCAAGTTCTACCGCAGCCACACAATCATCCTTCTCTTCGATCGACGAGTTGGGAGGCCCGGGACCGTCATTGCCCAATTCTACCAAGAAGCCGATGCTCCAGAGCGCGCTGAGTCCTGTCAATCATACTCGACCTGGACTCCATGCCAGATCAATCACCTCTCCAGCGAACCAATTTCCGGCATCGCAACCAACTTCATATGGAATGACTCCCATGTCTGAAGGCGGATCATTCAGGTCTCAGGATGATTATGCTGATCAGTACGATGAGGTCGTTATGTCGGACGGAGAGAGCAGTCCATTTCCCTCGCTAAGCATGACTATATCCAACCAGACCAAATCTTTGTCGGGTCCAGGGCCCTCCGAATATCAGACAATGCCAACATCTGCCAACGAGACTGGAGGAGCGTTCAGCCTGCAGGGAATGCGAAGAGGCATGCGGCGTCTTACAGGCGGCAAGAGTGAAAGCCAAAAGGAGAAAGACAAGATCAAAGATCTGGCACGCTTACGGGGGCAATCCGGAGGACAGGGACAAGCGACGGCGGCGTTGCAGAGTCCCAGGGTTCCAAGAGTGCCAGCGGAGTATCTCAATGCGTCCAATACGAGCGGCGTCAGCCCAACTGCGAGCCCGGGATTTTGAAGGCATATGGGAGTGAGATTTCTGTTTCGAATTTCCGTTTCTTTCAGTACGACAACGATACCCATAATAGAGCATCATGGAGCATGAAGGACGTATCATGGGCGTTTCTTGAGCATTTCCAGCGGCCACCATGTGTCTGTGTACCATATACAAAAAGGTATTCTCGAATGCGAAGACAAAAAAGCCGGATGTGTATACTAGGTTTAGCAGTTGCAGGCGCTCAAGGACAGACATTTCACACAACCAAAGGCTTTGGAACTCGTCCCAAGCTTCTATTTCCTTCCAAATTGACTCTTTGCTGGTTCCCCCTTTCTTAGTAGGAAGTTTGCAGGCCAATCTGGATGAACGAGACACGGACATCTGAACGGCGCACTGGCCATCGCCCACATTCCTACTCCTACATTCCAGGCAAGGGACCCAAACAACAGAGCTAGTCGAAGCGCGACCGAAGACGGGTAATTGTTTCTATACGGGAACTAGAGGTGAGTGAAGCAGGACAAGAGGTGGAAACGACAAGATGCGGCTTACAAAGTGTGTCGTCAGGTTGGACAATGTTCTGCTGGTCTTACAGGGCATTCTAGCATTGTCTGCTGCTCAATCAGGTCAGTGCTGTGGTCATGATCTCGAGATCCTCCAATACTAACTGCGCTACAGTTTCGACTCTGCCCGATGGTTGTTACCTTACCTCGTCCATCGTCTATGGGAACACGACCACATCAAGCACTGTCACTACCAGTGGGGGCCTGTCAACCATATCCACGAGTTCAGGAGCTTCAATATCTGGTTCTAGCAGTGTTGCCTCGTCGTCATTCTCCTCTTCGAGTACGTCTTTCAATCCCTCTACTACAACGAGTCCCACGGTGCCAACCACAACAATCCCGTCTCCGACCTCAAACCCGTTCGTGATCACTGTCAGTGGTATCGGCAATAAACTGAGAGCTCGTGCCATGGACTATGTGACGTTCAACGGTGGCAATGCTTATATCTCTCCTGACGAAGACGTTGCTACTATTTTTGTTCTCACTGTGAATGGCCACTTGAAAACTGGGAATGGCGATGTTGGCACCACCGGAAATACAGGCACATTGCCTCTCGTCCAGTTTTTCGACTCGACTCAGCCGAGTGATTATAGATGGTCTTTCAACGGGACAAGATTGATGTTTGGGGATACGACATTCTCGGCGACTCCTAATGGGCGGCTGTATGTGGTTTTCCCTGGGAGTCAGCCGCTTGAGGGAGCTATACCAATTACCATGGCCGCCGACTTCGTTGATGTTTCGACATCGAGCTCAAGTCTGGCCAGTTCGACAAGCCCAAGCACTACAAGCATAACCGAGCAACAAACGAGCGAGACTAAGCAACAGACTGCCGGAAGCACCTTTACGACCAATATAGTCAGCTCGTCGCTCACCAGCACGGAGTCAAACCCGTCCTCTGGCACCACTACGACGACGACGACGACGACGACGACGACGGAAACACCTGCAAGTTCGTCACAATCCACACAATTGACATCCACCAGCATGAGTACCTCCTCGTCATCGCCAACGCAATCAGTCTCTGCGACTCTAACGACTCAGTCTTCGGCACAACCCACAAGCTCGCCACTGTCCTCAGCAGCGCAGCCACCGTCCTCATCCTCTCATGTATCGTCTCTCTCAGCCACGACAAGTAGTGAAGCAGCTTCTACTGTCTTAACTTCGTCGCCTTCAAGCCACGCAACAAATACTCCAAGCAGCCTGGCGACAGCCTCAGCCTCATCGAGCACAACGAGCGTAACTGTTGAGGGAGGGGCGTCAATGTCCAGCTCAACGTCAAGGCTTTCATCCTTAGCGACGACAATCTTATCGAGCGCACCGCCAACAGACTCAAGCAGTGCATCTACTAGTCTCTCTCCAAGTTCATCGTCTAGTACAACGAAGTCAACAACCACGGTAGCTAGTCAGTCCACATCCGTAACGAACATTTCGTCCAGGCCGGGCACTATCAGCTCAACTACGATCTCCACGTCTTCTTCCACCATCACTACCACAGGCAGGACCAGCACCAGGAGCGTCTCAACGGCGAGCTCGTCTTCCAGTCCCATAGCCACTCCGTATCCCGCCAAACGAGGACTGACCTACCGCAATGTCACCACGCTTCAATTCTACCCTCCCCCATCACCCTACATTTCGTGGTCGTACAACTACTACTCGCTGCCCAACGCCAGCGACGACGTCGGTATTTACCCTTCGTCCCAATACCGCTTCATCCCTCTCTTGTACAACGACGCCGACTCTCTCACGTCCATCTGGGCCGCCAACGTCAACTTTTCCATTGCCAACTACGGCACCGACGCCATCTTCGGGTTCAACGAGCCCGACGCCAACTTCAACGGCCAGTCGGCCAACATGCCCGTGGCGCAGTCCATCCAGGGCTACCACGACTTCATGCAACCGTTCGCGGGGAGGGTCAAGATCGGCGCCCCCGCCGTGACCAACGCCGGCGGCGGGCTCACGTACCTGGCGCAGTTCCTGGGCAACGCGACGCAGCAGAACCTGACGATCGACTTCCTCAACATCCACTGGTACGCGTCGCCCTACAACATCGACTACTTTGAGAGCTACCTCGCGCAAGCCTACAATTTGTCCGTCAGTTACTCCCCCGCCGGTGCTGCCGCCCCCCTCCCCATCTGGGTCACCGAGTTCGGCATGGACCAGGACTTTTACGACCAGCCCACCACGGCGCAGTTCCTCAAGAACGCCACGCGCTTCATGGACGCCCAGACCTGGGTCGAACGGTATGCCTGGTTCGGCAACTTTCCAGGCGGCTACACCACCTTCGGCACCCCGACGACGAACATGCTCCTCAACGTCGACGGGAGCGCCCGCAGTGTCTTGGGCGATGTGTGGTATTCGTATAATGGGACCAATTAGCCTTTTTTTAATCCGTGGAGTCGATTCTTTTTTATATGTGTTAGGGGAGATGACGGTGGGGAGTTTGGGCGAGGAAGGCGTCAGGGGTGAGAGGAGAAAAAGAGAGACAGAGAGAGAGAGAGAGAGAGAATGAAAGAACAAAATTGATTCTATTCTATATTTCTAGCACCGCTCAAAGACGCGATACAGGCCCTTGAGGTTCGCCACCTCGACGACGCCCTTGAGCATCCCTTGTGTCGCCACGATCCTTGACCGAAAGGCCGGAAAGAGGACGTGCTCGAGCGCGTGTTCAAGCTCTGTCCTTCTCTTCTCTGTGGCTTCATCGGGGTTGTCTCCGTCGTTATCGTTGTCGTTGTTATCGTCGTCTCGCGCTGGCGAATTGTGAGGAGCTTCTGGCTCGCTTCCCCCATCCTGCATCTCGTCCTCCCCGCGCTTCGCCTTGTCCTGGCCTTTTGTCGTGTGCTGCTGATTCGGTTTCGGTGCTGGCAGCATCTCGGGCACGTAGAAACTGGCCAACTCCCGCAAAAATGTGCGGAAACAGCCTTCCTCCTCGGTCCAGTTCACGTAAGGGCCCAACCTCAGTAAGAACGTGGGCAATTTGGCCATGCATGGCGTATACCCTTTCACCAACAGTGGGATCGTCTGCAAATGGCCGTCCTCGGAAATCTCGAGGGAGAAATACTCCGCTAGCATGGCTCGGCTTTTCATGAGCTGTTCGTATACCTTGTCCACGACTTGGTCTTTGTCCAGACCTGCGCAGGTCGGGTCGATCGAGATCTGATGTTCGGCCGCGATATCTAGAAGCTCCTTCAGGCTAGGCGCAGGCTCCAACTGGATGAGCCCAAAATTGCCAAAGTCAGTTAGACCAACTTGATAGAAGAACTCGTTACATGTCATTCCGTAGTCAACAAGGTACAACTTGACGCCCGACTGGATGGCTGCCAGTCTTCTGTTGCTATCCACAACACCGACGTAGGTTAGAGAGGCGAATACTTCGGTCAGTGCGTTGTGCATTGCATCACGGACTTCGGCTCGGAGATCCTTCACGGATGTGAGGCGTATTTGGACTTGTTCTCGATCGGTTGTTGCGTACCGTATGCCCGCAGTTGTCACAGTCTCGTCTTGAGATGTTGAAGTTTGCAAGGCTGGCGGAAGCATCGAAGTGATTTTTCGCATTTTTGAATCAGTCCGTACTAAATTATTTTCATAGGGCTTTTTCGAGGTTGAGGTCCTTCTTGAATTGGTGTCGTCCGTAGCAGGAGTTTGGTCCCCGGTCGTGAACCTCGGATTCATTGGCGTCATGGGTGTGACCCCAGGAAGGAGTGTCTGAGTCTTGAAAGTCCTGCTAGTATCGACCTTTGCCAGACTTTCCCGGATGTTTGCACAAACCAAGTCAATGATTTCGTCTTCGTTCAAGAAGTGGACTTCTCGCTTCGTGGGGTGTACATTGACATCAACTCGAGCAGGATCGATGTCCAGGCTGAGGTAGACAAAGGGATGTCCACCTTTAGGAAGAAATAGCTGGTACGTTTGCTCGATAGCTTTCTTGACAGCTGATGATTCGACCGACCGGTTGTTGATGAAGAGAAGTAACATCGTTCGTTTCGAATGGTAGTTTGCATTGGTCGCATAGCCAGATGCTCTGAAGCCCCAACGTGAATCATCGGTGCCGAACTCCATGATCTCTTTTGCAATACTTGCCCCATATGCTTGCCTGAGTCTGTCAATTTTGGTGGCGGCAGCGGCTACTGAGAAGCCTATACCGGTCTCACCGTGCTTTTTGACGGAAAACGCAACACCTTCGCGGTGCACGGCGTATCGGGTAATGATATCAAGCACCTTTGCATATTCTTCCGACGGCGATCTAAAGGCCCGACGACGGTTGGGGATATTGTAGAAAAGGTCTTCGACAGTGATCTGTGTTCCCGGCCGACCAGCACAGGGCTTCGGGTCTGAAGATTGACCAGGTTTCGGGGCGGAAAGCTTTCCATCTTGATAATGTGCCTGCCACGCACAGCTGGAGTTCGCAGTCCTTGTAGTTACTCTGAGGTGGGCAATATGGCTGATACTGGCAAGGGCTTCTCCTCGAAAACCGTAGGTGCCAATGGACATGAGATCCTCGAAGTTCTTCAACTTGGAGGTGGTAAACCTTTCACAGAGAATGGGCAAGTCATCTTTCTGTTGGATATCAGCTTCCGAAACCTTGTACAGTTTCAGGACCGCACCTCGATTCCATGGCCATTGTCGGTAATCTGCAACAGCTTGAGGCCGCCATCTTTGACCAGAACCTCGATAGAAGTGGATCCAGCATCGATGGAGTTTTCGAGTAACTCCTTGAGAGCATTCACGGGGGCGACGATAATCTCGCCCGCGGCAATTTTGTTGACGACATCTTGATCAAGAGGCTTTTAGAGCACAAGTCAGCATGATTGCGTACTCCCAGCCCCGGAGTCTATCCAACATGCCTTGATACGAGGCGGAGCCTCAGGAGGCAAGCCTGCCTCTTCCGCCGTGCGCTTGACACCTCGCGGGGGGACTGCGTCGACATCCATAGCCTCGGCCATTGTGTGTAGTACTCAGATGCGGAAGGGTCTGTTAGGCTTTGCTGACAAGTCCATCGTCAGCTGAGAAGTGGTGACTTCGAGATGGCATAGTGCTTGCCTAGAGAGATGGACTTGGACTTGTAAATACAGGCGAGCCGCATAATGTGGGGGAAACGCGACGTCACATGCCCTGGACTGACCATAGAGCCTGATCTTTAGCGAGGCTTCCCTCCTCCACCGCACCCAAAAGTGCAACTAATCCACAGCGCTCGACCTCTTTTTTTTTGGTTTGTTGTCGAAGGAAATCCTGCGAGCTCCCATCTGTGTTTCTCCTGCAAGGTCGAGAACAAGACATCCGGAGGAGCGGCCTCTTCCGCTCAAGTCACGAAAGAGAGTCTCTGGCCCATGGACGAACACCGGTAGCACGAGCAGCAGCAGCAGCGCCGCCCGTAGACCACTCACCATGGCTATGAACTTTGTGACGTTCAATCAGGACTACAGCCATTTGGCTGTAGGTACGTGACTGCCATGATTCCTCGGTCACTGTGTGCATGAACCTAACTCCCCTAGGCACCTCGAGAGGTTTTCGCATCTTCACCACCGAACCGTTTGCAAAGTCCTTCGAATCCCGAGATGCCGGCAACGTTGCTATCCTCGAAATGCTTTTCTCTACCTCTCTGGTGGCCCTCATCCTGTCTCCGAGAAGGCTCCAGATCAAAAACACGAAACGAGACCTGATAATTTGCGAGCTCACCTTTCCCAACGCCGTCCTCGCCGTACGCTTGAATAGAAAGAGGCTGGTGATTGTGCTGGAAGATCAAATCTACCTTTATGATATCCAGACTATGAAACTGCTGTACACGATTGAGACCTCGCCAAACCCTGCAGCTATATGTGCCCTTTCTCCTTCCCAAGATAACTGCTACCTGGCATACCCGCTGCCTCAAAAAGCGGTGGCATCGTCCTTTGCTCCACCTTCACACGCTCCACCCAACAGCACACACGTCCCTCCAACCACCGGAGAGGTTCTGCTGTTCGATGCCGTCAAGCTAGAAGCCATCAACGTCGTGGAAGCTCACCGGTCTCCACTTTCTTGTGTCATCTTCAACAACGAAGGAACTCTGATGGCCACAGCGTCGGACAAGGGCACTATTATTCGAGTCTTTTCGGTTCCAGATGCACACAAACTCTATCAATTTAGAAGGGGCTCCATGCCTTCCAGAATCTACAGCATGGCCTTCAACATAACCTCGACCTTGCTGTGCGTGTCCTCGGCCACAGAGACTGTCCACATTTTCAAACTGGGTCCACAACACACCCGGGCAACGGAAGAAGGAGAGGAACCTGCTTCACCCAGTAAAATGAGCAGTACCGCAAACCGGAGATTGAGTCAAGGTAGTGACACTCTCGTAGACCAACCGGTCGACGAGGAGGATGGTGCGGAATCCCCAACTGCAATGGCCAACCGCAAACCCAACGGAACCTTCATGGGTCTCCTCCGAAGGACGTCGCAGCATGTAGGAATCAATCTGGCCTCTACAGTAGGAGGATACCTCCCGAAAGGAGTCGCTGAGATGTGGGAGCCGTCAAGAGACTTTGCGTGGATACGACTGCCGCGATCCAGCTCGGGTGCTCCACCGAGTCAGTTACGCAGCGTGGTGGCCATGAGTGCCAATTCGCCCCAAGTCATGGTTGTAACGAGCGAGGGGAATTTCTATGTGTTTACCATTGACCTGGCAAAGGGAGGTGAAGGGACTTTGACGAAGCAATACTCGTGAGTGGTTACCTTTTCCCGCTATCTTGTTTCAGCGTGCTGACAGAGTCTAGGGTTCTTGATATAAATGATAAGATGGGGACATCGGGGATGGATTTTTGACTTGCACCCACGCAATGATGATGATAAAGAGCAGGCTTTACAGTCGGCCAAGGATCAGATATTGACGTGCACCCAACTTGTGATATTTAGCGCTGGCGTTTCGGCGTTGTGATATACGAAGGAAGCACATTTAATTATTGCAAAAGCAATAATACCGAGCGGGAATGAAGGGAAGGGAGGGCAGGCAAGCGATAATGGGTTTTACTTTTCAAAAGATGAACGAGCTGGAGATGCAATGGCCCACTCCGACTCGACTCGATGTGAAGCCGCCGTAGAAAATTGGTGGATTTGACCTGAGAATCCAGACGAGATATCAAACACAGCACTAGTGAATGCGATTGTGGATCGAGGAGTTCAACTATGTAACTATGTGTGTTTGCTGCCAGCTAGCTAGCACTCTCATAACTCTCCTAATTCTCATTTGAGAGATTTTTCCTTTCCGCTCTGACTCTGGCTGGCTGACATGCTCGTCCAGCCTAGTGAAATTCGAATGCCATCCTCTCGTTGTCCCTGACGCGACCAAGCCGGAGCGCACCTCGGAGCCTGATAGCCTCGATATAACTTACAGCAACAACAACAGT